ATGCTTATGGTTCAGAAATCTCTGGAAGGTGCCGCCCAACTGTGGTGAAGAACCCGTTGCTGACCTGATACGACTGACAAGCGCTATCTCCTAAGCACGTAACACTTCATCTACTTTTATTGATGTATGATAACACATTTGATTTAAGAAGTCTGACGTTGTAAAGTGTCAGGCAATGTTATTCTCCAATGACTAAGCTTCCGCAAACCTCCTTTAAAAAGGAAGTTTTAGTGTACTCTTTTTTTCGCAGTGGCACTGATTACTTCAATACGAGAGACAAAACAGAAGGACATTTAAATTAATTTTGCTTGGCACTGATAGAGACATTGACATTATAAACAGATTTAAAAATTTGGATTGTGAAAAGGAAAAACCAATGCAAAATGAACTGTAGTCGCATTATACCTATAAACCAAGCAGCCTTCGGTTTCTACACTGCAGGAATGGCATTTGATAGACTGTCGTTAGTCTTGCGATAAATGATAGTAATGTTACTAATCATGACTAAAGGTGCAGAAAATCGAGAAGAAGATCTTAGATGCAGCTGTGTTGAATGAGATATGGGAATAAGCAACCTCTGTGCTACCAGCGGAAGGAGTCCACCAATTAAAGTGCTTTTTTCACGCAACACAGCACTTCCACAAAATCATTCCACTGCAGAAGATGACTTAAATAAAAAATTTGTTATTTAAGAACACCTTAAAGGGCATCTGAAGAAGATTAATAAAAAAGAAGGAAAGTACTCGGGTACATCTATAGTAAACAGTGGGCTCGAATGAATACTACTTGCCCCAGACATCGCTTCATCTCAGCATAAGATACCATATCAGACTTACCCATTTGCTCACTTATACTAGTTCGATGTTTCCAGAATCTAAGAAGGCGTTAATGATATGCTGGGTTACTGACAGGATTGCCCGCATATCTGAGTGGGAAACTGCTGACTGACGTTGTCATTGAAAAAAAAAACAGAATTTAAATGTTGGCTACACGAAGTAAATTGTGGATATAGGTTTAAATATCAAATCTAGCATGCAACATACATAATCATGTTTACTTACATGTATGACATTACGATTTAAAACTATCAGGTGATCTTGAATTACCTAAACACCCGAAGGTAAGCAGCCCCTGAAGCAAAAGCGGGAGCACGAGCAGTGCTCTGCATGCGCGCTGTGTTCACGTGCAGTTCCTTCTGAATGATCGTGGATGAGTGAAAGATTGATGTATAAAAACTCACTGCATGCGCGACGCACCCAGCATTAGTCCTGCGCCCGATAGTGCTTTTAAAGTGCGGCTTATGTTTCGGTATTAAAGGTAATCAACATTATTAGATTTGAGGGACTTAAATCTCAAAATTGGAGTCCTAAAAGCTTAAGTATGATTTCAAGCAAAATCGTAATTTTGAAACATCAGTGGATATTGGGAGCGCTCCTGATAGTATTTCCAAATTTGAATGGACCGAGATAGATTAAAGTTCATATTGCACCTTATACACAAAGGTGTGACCCGGATCCTTAAAAAGAACTATCATTCTCACGTTCTACGGTGATTTTCCCCCTTTATTTACCTTCAGCCAATATTCAAAAGTTTTTGGTCAATTTTGCAATCATTACCAGGTAGTACTGGGTGACATGAAAGCTGTCAGATAAAGAAACTCAAAGGTTTCTTATCCGCCAGTAAGGGAGACCCCTCTCCTTAACCCCTACAGACCTCCCCATTCAAATTGTAAGCTACGCAAAATTCGTGCTCAGCACTACGATAAAAGTGAAAACGCGATTTCCACAAAACGAAATTATTGGCATTTAACATTTTAATCCACAAACAGCGCAGATTAAAGGGCGGGCCCGGCCAAAATCAAGACTTTCAAGTCCTCAGTAAATGACAGTAGTGAGCCGTCTGATTGATGAAAACCTCATTGATAGAACGTGGTGTTGGGCTAGAAAGTCTCTTTAGACTTTGGAATGCAACGCCCCGTTCAGGAGATTATTACGCCCACTCAGCGTTTCCCTCCCCCTCAACATCGGCCGTTTCGCCCTCTCGCCAGCAGGCAATGAAAGCAGCCTCCGTCAGTCAAGTTTATACTCGCATCCAGCCCACCATAACCGTCTACAAAATGTGAGAAGCTCGAGATAGCGAATTATCCTAGACAATGCGTCTAACAGTGAATTCGAAAAAGGGTACTGCAAAGATTGCCGAGCTACAGGACCAGTTTGAGTTTCAGTTAGCAATGAGTGTGAGAAACACATAACTGTATCTAGTACCGTCGAAAGCTTATAAAGCAGTGCATTCTACACAACAAACTGGTTACTACTTCCGTTAGAAGTACTCCCCACTTGATGTAAAATCTAATTATAGTGCTAATCATTGAAAAAGCTTCAAATTGCTAAAAAAAATGTGTCGCATCCTAGCAGCCATTAAAATATTACAATCCCTATATTTTACCAAATGGACACTGCACTGATTTTTTCTGCTTTCCTTCTTGAGTAGAGAGATCT